TCGTAGTCCCTATTAGAAGCAGAAGAACACCACAACATAAATATTATCTTAAACTCACTTTGACTTTAATCGATTACGCTTCGCTTCGGTGACTTCAGTAAATATCAAATAGACATAATAAATACATATACAACAAATAAATTACAATAATTGCACAAATGAAAAGGCATTTTCCATGAATAACTACTACATCAAGCAGACAGAGTACGAGTATTTTTTTCCGCAGCATAGCATTCAACATTATTCGAGACGTTAAGCATAAATTTGTACTGAACCACGGCCAACAATGCAGCTCTAGAACTGCATACGACGTTGTTTGTTACGGAAATTGATGACTAAAAAGACGGCTAATAAGAAGCCGAGTATCTGTCGAAATAAACAAAATATAGTTTTATATATATATTTTCAATTGTACATATAACCAACAATTCTTGCTCACCTCAAGAGCCGTAACCACCCACGAGACAGTGGCAATACTCGCTGTCTCACTGTCATAGTATCGCTGCAATTTGGCGCTGCAACCTTCGGTGTACATTTTATTGGCATCCTCAGTTTGATCCTCATAGCAGCTGAGCGGTATTTGACGATTCAGCAAAATGTAATCTTGTGAACTATCTTTGCCGCAACATTCATATTTCGCTTGCAAGGCCTCGATCTTGTCGTGATCCCAAGCATCTTCCACTATGGCAATGCCACTTTGCGTTTGACGGTCATTAAGAATGATAATGGTGACAGCGATTTGTAGAATAGCTAGCAGCAACAAGAAAACAGCGCACTGAAATGAGACAACATTTAAATTTTAACCCAGGGAATTTTTGATAATTTAATAATATTTTTTTTAAGTGAAACTTTGCGATCGGATGGCAGGGTTTGTTGGGCTCTATTTATATTAAGAAGATTAAGATTAACATTAATACTAAGATTTACACTAAGATTAAGATTTCTATTGAGATTCAAATTGAGGTTAATTCTAAGATTGAGATTGGTATTGGTATTAAGATGAAGATTGCGATTTAGCTTAAGAATAATATATTGTAGTTTAAGATTTACACTAAAATTAACATTAAGATTTCGATTGATATTCAGATTGAGGTCGGGGCTAAGATTGTGATTGAGATTAAGATTAAGATTACGATTAAGATTAAGTTTTCGATTTGATCAAATTTAAGTTGAGGGTAAAATTGTGATTGGGATAAGGTTTAAGATTTAGATTTAAATTAAGAATAAGATGATGATTAGTTAAAAATTACGATTAAGATTAAAATGATGAATAAGATTAAAATTACGATTAGGATTAAGATTAATATTAAGACTAAGATTTATACTAAGATTAGATTGAGGCTAAGATTGATATTGAGATTAAGATTAATACTAAGATTAAGCTTAAGTTAAGTTAAGTTAAGTTAATACTAAGATTAAGATTAAGTTAAGGATTCAAAGATTAAGGTTAGAACTACGATTAAGATTAAAATTAAGATTACGATTACGATTAGCATTGAGATTAAGATTAAGATTGAGGTTGAGATCGAGATTGAGATTAAGGTTAAGATTAAGATTACGATTACAATTGAGATTAAGATAATTTTTCATTATTATGCAGAAAACTACTCATATAATATGGTGAGCTATACATAAGTGTAGTATGAAGAATAATTATCGCTTCAGTCGCGCGTGGGATCCAAACACAATTTTTTTTACTTACTGTCACAGTGAGGCAGATAGACTCACGCAACGCCGCCACGCAACCGATGATAGCGAATAAAATGACCAATCCAAATATGATAAAGGCCGCTGTATCCCAGTCATCTGGCACTGCCCCAGGATAAACGGCGATCAACACAATGGCGGCAATGGCAAAAAGCTGTAAAGAAAAAAATTAAATTAGCTTAATTTGATTGTATGTAAGTTTAAAATTAAAAAAAAAAAATAATATTCGATAGCGCTCTGAATACATGCGTAGTGAGTGGTATGTCATGTTAATGGCTTTAATATTTTATTTGTTTCTATGCTAAAAAATATGCAAAAATGTAAATGAATATCTTTGTTTCTTAAATACAGTATTGGCCAATATAATAGCACCCCCATTTCAAAGTGATATTGTTTGCCACTTATGTTTAATTATTTATTTTTAAGAGTTTTCAATTAAAATCCAGTTCATTCTCTAACATATCTATAAAACTGTGTACTCAAAAAAATTCTAGCACTTCTGAGAAAAAAGTTTGAAATTTGGGTTAAAACTCGTTGCACTTTTTTGCGGTCTTTCAAAAAGTTTAAAACTTGGGTTTAAACGAGTTTTGTTAGAAACGAACTATATTTTAATTGAAAATTCTCAAAAATAAATAATTAAACATAAGTGGCAAACAATATCACTTTGAAATGGGGATGCTATAGATATGACCAGCGCTGTATGTGACATAACTTTTTACTCGCTCTACTTGCTAAACTAGTTTTTAAACTAGCGCACACGCATTTGATTTTTTATTCAATTCATTGTTTTGCGGATTTAATAACTGATTAGTTCTATCATCCACATTGTTACGTTGACGTGGTAAGATCTTTCGAGAAATAAAAAAAGACAAGCACGTTCGATATTTTATAGCGGCCACCGAAAATGGAAAAAGAATTAAATTAAATGTGAGTGCGATATACAAGATAGTTTTATTCAAATTTGGGGTAGTGCCATTAAGTTAAGTTACATTATTTCGTTGAGGCCCTAAATTGATTTAAGTTTGCAGCATTTAAACTCTTACTTAAGTATTTATTCGGCACTCAATCAAATGACTTCCAACCAGCCAACTAACTTGTCAACTAATTTGATGTGTCGGATTAAGTTTGCTTATAAAATGCTTTCAGAATTGTTTTTACGTAAGATTGCTTAAATTGCTTTTGCGAAACCGGCAGTAGGTATGTATATGAATTTTACTTTAGGACAACACGTGCTACTTGCACACTGCAAATATATCGAAAAATTCGAAAACGGTCTGCAACTTGCCTGTGGGTGAGGCCATAATGTGTTGTACGGATGCATACCTAATATTCACATTTCATCGCAGGGTTGACATTTACTTGCAGCATGTGTCAAAATATTGAAATTTTAAAAATATTTTTTTTAAACCAATAAAATAAAAAAATTAAGAAAATAAAATTATAAAAGAATACAAGTTAAATAAAGATAAATAATTTAAAAATTCGCTGCGCCAGCATTCGACCTCGGATCTCTCGAATGACATGCTTGTGCTTTGCTCACTCGGCTGTCTCATTTACCACTCGTGATGAAAAGCTACTTTGAGAGAAAGCACTTGTCTGCCATTTAGCTCGCGGCACTCCAACTACCGCAATGGCAGTGGGCAAAGTACAGGCGTACCGATCGACAAATTCGGGTTCGAGTTCTGGAGAAGCGGATTACTTTTCTTTTTCTTAGTCTACATTTTTTTCATTTTTAATATAACTTTTCCAATTTTTTATTTTTAAAAAAGAAAAAAATACATTAAATAAGTTTCAAAAATTAACTTAAATTTAAAAACTAATTTAATTTAATTTTTAGAAACTTAGTTAATGTATTTTTTGGTTAAAGAAAGATAAATAAAAAAAATATTTTAAAATTTAATTTAATTTTTAGAAACTTATTTAATGTATTTTTTTCTTTTCTAAGTTTTTTATTTAATGTTTTGTTATGATTTAAGAAGAATATTTTTTTCAGTTAATTTTTATGAACTAAGTTTTTTATCTTTTATCAAAAATCTTTTTTTGGAAGTTATTTACTTAATTTTCTTTTAATTATTAACCGACTTCACAAAAAAGGAAGGTTATCAATTCGTCGGAATATTTTTTTTTTATATATGTTACCGCATAACTTTGGACCGCGATAACCGATTTCTATAATTCTTTTTTTAAAGGAAAGGTGTTGCCTCACAGGTACTCCCCTAATTATTATATATATATCTAATTTAATCCGATCATTGGATTATGAAGAAATTAACGATAATCTTAAATTTGTATATGAGAATTGAAGTCGATTTGGTTTTTTGCTTAAAAATTACTTGTTATCTTTTATTGTGTACAAAAATAAAAATATTATTTTTTAATTTCATTTACTTTTTAGAACTTTATTTATTTATTTTTTTTTTTATTCAATTTGTTATTCTTTTGTTAATTTTATTTTTTATTTTTTGTTTTATTCTTTTAAAACGAAAAAAATATATTTTTTAATTACTTTAATTTATAGAAACTTATTCATTTTTTTAATTGTTGTTTTTTGTCTTTTGCTAATAAAAATATTTTTAATCTAATTTTAGTTTTAAGTACTACTTCCTTTTTTGATGAAATTTTGTTCTTTTTCTAATTTAATTTTTTTATTTATTAAATTTTATTGTTTTAGAAAGAAAAATATATATATTTTTTAATTTTATTTAATTTTTAAAAAACTTATTGCTCAAAGGCGAACAGCATAAAGCTAAGACCTCCTCGTTAGCAGATCTTTTAATTAGCCTTTCGAAAGATAGTAAAGAGCTTTCAAGATAGTTGCCAGAATTTACAATTTTCTTAGGGAAGAGTTTTGTCTTTCGAGAGACTGTGGGGAATTGAAAGACAGTTGCCAGAATTGTCCTGTTACTGTCTCAAATTTAGTGACTGGAATAAGACTGACTTACCGAATATGTACCAGCTTTAAGCTTATGAATGGCATTCAATAAGAATTCAATTACTTCTTTTTTCATTACCATGCTTCTAACTACAATCGTCACCTTAATTCACCAAGGCCCTATATATATTCGATCAAATTATTGCAAGAAATGTTTAACCCTACACTTTTACATACATACATATATTTATGAACATACACACGTATATAAGAAAAGGCTTTTACGAGCTATTATATTATTAAATTTCTTTTGAACAAAGAAAGCTTAATTAAAAATGTCGACAAGAAAGCCAACACATTGCTCTAATAAATACTACAGGCACAAACAAAATGGAAGCAGCTGCACAATTCATACGAGCACTTAAAATAACTACAAATTAGAGCAATTGAAAATGCTTGTTAATAATAAATGTATGAATTAGAAGAGAGCGTGTGAAAAGCAATATGAAATTTAATTTTTTTACAAAGGAAATTCAACAAGAAAATTCATTTAGTTAACTGGCATGGCGGAATTTTCCTCAAACACGCATAGATATATGAATACATACAGATATGTATGTATGTACATTAGGGTGGTCCAAAATTGCATGCGGGGGGGGGAAAAAGTAAAGTCGGAATTTTATGCTCTCACCCCTTAGGATTGTTCTATACCGAAAAAAGTATTTCGTTTTTTTATTTTGAAATCAAAAAAATATGTAGAGGTCGCTCAAAGCGCTAAAAGTTTTCCATGTACATATTTTATATGGAAAAAACAATTTTTCGTAGAAATGGTATAGATGGTGATTAAAAATCATAATTTGCATTACAATTCCGACTTTACTGTTTTTGGACCAGCCTAATGTACATACATATGTATCTATAGCAATGAATTTTCCATGGATCGAATATAATGGATAACTGCGCAATAGGGAAGCATATCCGTAGAACGATGAAGAGAGTAAGACGGCTAAAACACACACAAAAACAATATACATATGTATGTACGGGAGGGTTCAGTAAGTTCATGGAATGGGAGGCGCCAAAGTCAACATTTTCATATTTTTTTTTTTTATTTACTTGGACACATTATACCGGCTCGAAGCGGTAAATAGGTCAACGGTGGTGTAGTTAACATGTTGGTTTATACAGGCTGACATTAACAAGTGACTTGGGTGGTTAGTTTGTTGTGACGGATTTTGAGTGAATACGTTTGATTGTTTGTCTATGCACATATGTATATGCATAGATAGTTAGGTACATATATGTATGTAAAACATGTACATATGCCACTGCAGAAAAAAATTATCAATTGATAGAAAATAACCCACTTGTAGTTAGCTTTTTTGCATGATTCCTATAAAATATATAACTAGAAAGGCTACAAAAAGCTAACTTGAAACTTGTTGAAAAGTAATGCAGGATACTGTTTTCTTTAAACGCATTGCTATTTAAATATCCTGCACTTCGCAAATGCTTTTTCGAATTGAGGACAAATAAAAGGAAAATCGAAATTTCATTTTATCATTTTGAAGTTATGTCTGACGGAGTTTGAATATGGGACCACCTACAGCAGAAAATGTAAACAAATATGAAATGCAATAAAATAAAAAAATAAAAATAAAAAAAATATTTTGTTTTTCCCATTGATATTTTATGTCCAAAAGTAGTTAGTTACAAGTTAGTTACATCAAATGCAGGGGTAACCACCCTTGACTATTTCGCGGCCGTCGCCATAGAAATATAGTTAGCTTTCGTCGAAGAAAATATACAAATAATAGTGACTTTTAGCTGCTTTCTAATCAACTTAAAGTTAGCTTATAGTGAGATACATTTCCTGCAGGGGTGCTTCAATATATGTACATATGTGGTACGCTTCATCGAAGTACAGCAACCACAGCAACAGTTAAGTAACAGTAGGTACAGAAATTCAAAACTATGCATTATTTAGAATACCCGCCAATGAGACAATGAACACATTGTGAAAAAAATCACATCAGATTATATCGAATAATATTACCGCAAAATCATTGAAAACCAAAATTTGTATAAGCATGTATGTTTAGATATACATACTATGTGATTACATTAGACCGCAGCAGAAAAAAAAAGTCGGAAGTATTTTTGCAAGGCAATTTCGAAGAAAAAAATTGTTTAGACGAACGTAGGGGACACCTTTTTACATTTTTCATCACATTTTCGGCATTTACAGTCGGATCGTACAGTATGATGCATCGAAGTTTCTGCTAATTTTGCAACAATATTTTATAACCTCAAGTACCCTGTTCGACCCATCAGATCTCAGTTTTTACCACCCTAACGTAACACCCTAATGTCAGCAAATAAACTGGCCAAAAATTACTAACCTTTTGCGGGGGAAGTTTTTGGATTATTCGGCCGGAAAAAAAAGATTTTCGAAATTATCCTCAAAAATAGTACTCTCGACTCAGGGATGTACAGTACAGCTAACTCTTTTTACTTGCTTGTAAAGTGGCACAGTCTAATGTACATGCAGTACAAATGCACATATGTACATAGTATATTTATGTATTTGAAGATCTTTAGTGAAAAAACACAACAACGTGATTCATCTACAATTTTATGCTAATTTATTTAAAATAGTGTATTATGTATACACTAAACTCATATATATGCATGTATTTATAACTAAGTCAGATAAAAAGCGGGACCTTGAAACTAAATGAATGTGACGCTATAAAAATGTGAGGTGATTTTTTGTTAAAGTTTTTAAACATTTTAACCTTTTGCTGAGGTAAACCTTTGATATGCATAGGAGTTCATGTACATACATTTTCATAAGTATATTATTTGATATAAAATAGCGCTCGAAGATGTGACGGAGGAACTTCTGATTCCACTTATTTGGGTGTTAAAACATCCCCCGTGGGTCCGCCACTGACTGAGACGTAGTTTAACACCCAAAAGCCTCCCCGCTGGATCCGCCACTGTGATATACATACATAACTTATTGAACTTATCATATTTGTATTCGAAACCGTTATTGTATATATTATTTAATGCCGGAACTTACGTAAGAGCGTGTCAGACGTGGCAATATTTCCAACTTTTCCACGCAGTTCGCAGTCAAATTGAAAAAAAGAGAAGTTTTATTTCCACGTGTGAACAGTCAGAAAGACCTTTTTGTCACTTTCGGCAACCAGTTCCAGAAATAAAAGTAGCAAGTTGTGTATTTTATTTTATGTTATTTTGTTAAAATATTCATGTACAAAATTTATATGAAATTTAACCCTTATAGCCAGTTTCACGAAAGCAACTGACAGAAAAAAATCATTTTTCACTTCTCAATCTTTCGTCTTTTAAGTGCGAAATTTACTTGTTTCTATTCTTATACCTTATATGAACATGAAATGTTATTAAAACTTTGGTCCGATGTTTCTAAGTACCAAAAGAAGATGTTATAGGCCCATGATACCCGCATTGTAATAGGTATTTCATTTATTTTATCAATTTAATTAAATAAAAAATTTTAAACAGGTGGCAACTCTCCTCAAAAATAAACCTTTTCAGTTTGATACCCATATTGCAATTTTTAATTTATCTTATCAATTAAATTTAATTAAAATTTTCAAAGAGGTGGCAACCTTCCACAAAAGAATTTTCGGATTTAAGCCGTCTTAAACCTATTCCTTTTGACAGCCATATTGGAATACATATTTACTTTATTTTGTCAATTTACTTAAACTGATTTTTTCAAAAAGGTGGTAACTCTCTAATTTTTCTTCTTTCTATATTTTAAGTTAGACCTCTAGCAATACATCGCTGACCACTCCATTCAATTTCATGCATTAGTTTTCAATTGATGCGCGTACAAACATACATATAGACAGACAGACAGACAGACAGACTTTGCTCTTTAAAATATTTTTCAATAGGCGGCTTTCCTCGTTTAGACATTTCAGGTTTAAAGGTCACAATGTGTTGTATGTATATTGTCGTATAGTTGTAGATCGCAAGGTTTCACAACAATGTTACGAATATACGACCTATACAATACCTTGTAAACTCTATAAATGTGTTTCCACTTATTTGACGACAAATGTCATAGTGAAAGCCAGCCTTTAGTATGGCTAAGGCCTTAGTACCTTTCTTTCAACCTTATACCAACTTAATAGCAAAAAACGCGCAAGTATGGCACACAAACATTTAATAACTCCATAACCAATCGCATACTGGTTTACGCAGTATTGACTAAAAATTTCAATGTTGTCTTTTCCATTCACACATTTTTTACTTATTTTTTTATTTTTTATTTTTTTTTTTTCGCTGTATTCATTGAAGTGACCATGACATCATAACAACCACCACCAACGCACAATGACAAGCAGTATCTCACCAGTCAAGGAAAGGGGAAAAAAACAACATGAAAGCAAATGATTGTAAACTTACCGCCAAAAGCGTATTGAAGAGAATCGAAGATATTTTTACGGTGGTAGTAGCACAACCCATTTTTACGTTTTTTTTGTATCTTGAAGTGGTTTCAATATTTTTAGTTAGTCTCTATTTTTTGTGTGTTGTCAATTTTTTTCGTCGGTTTTCCAGCACACTTTGTATTTATGCACTCACTGCAAGCAGTTAACAGCTGTTAATTTCTCATAAATACTGGCAATAAAATTTTTGAATTCTTCAACGTCACCACAGCAAAATTGTTTACAACGCCACTTGCTGTCTACAAAATTATGCAGCAAATAACGCAAATATGTTTGTTTGTTCAATGAAGAATCTCATAAAATTCACCGCTAATAACTATTTTCAATTAATATTTTTTTAAATTTTTTGTTTTGTTTTTTATTTTTTTAATTTTTTTTTTGCTGCAATAATTGCCAGCAGACGTCCGGTGGAAATGAAATTAACTTGACGATTGCGTAGGCGTTTTTGGCAATCTCTTCATTAGCTGTGTGCGACGATACACAAAACAACACACAAGCGGTCTTCCAATAATTTATGCACTATTTATTTAAGTGTTTAGGTTTATTTGTTGTATATTTTACGTGAAAAATTTAATATTTTTATTTCACATTTATAAAAATATTTTATAAAAAATTAGTAAAAACATTCTATTATTTTTTTTTTTTACCACTCGAGGGTAGTTTTCACTTATCTCTTCGCTACTTTTTCCTCCACACTTGTAAAAAATATCTTAAAACTTTCACGTTACACGTTCAACTGCAGACTGACAGAAAAGCTCACGAATTTGCTTCACTGAAGTCGGCGTCGCTGTTGTTTGTCACTTCGCTGTTCGTCGCATTGTTGTTGATTTCCCTATGGCACTTGTCGCCGAACTTAATTTTTTTTTAAAAGCAATGCGGCTGCGTTGTCGCTGTCAGCGTCGAAGTCGCCAGTTGCTCCCCGCTAGGGTGGGTATATTACGATTACATACTTCCATGCGTATAACGATGACGTCACTTTGGCTTTGTGACTCTGACCAGATGCCGCCTTTTTTTTTTTGGTTAATGCACACCGCTTGCTCATCGTGTTGGGCAACACCTTCATTGTAGGGGCTAAGCTATAGCGGGGAATAGCGTTTAGTTAATTATGCTCACAGCTGCCTTTCAATCTTTCTATGGCATAAATTTGTACTTATGTATGATTGTACGTACAAATGTGTAGTTATACATATTTATGGTGCATATGTATGTACATTTGTTGTTGGTTTCGTCTTTAAGTTATTGTTATTGTTTTTAATACAAAGGTTGCCATGAGACCGGTTCAATTACGCTTTTGAGAAGACCCAGCAGGAAATTCAAAAGTAGATCTAAAAACTTGCACTTAAAAAAAAGATTTTGAGATGTGCACAACACAACGCAAGAATTGATGTGATATCTTGTCATTCGTTCCGCTTTCGCCCGATTCAAGTAAGGTGGCTTATGTACATAAATCGGTGTGATTTTATACAATATATTCTGATATTGAATGATGTGATTTATGTGTGACATACATATATAATTCCCTCAACCTAATGTCTTGCCTATTCACAATGTGATGTCATGTGCGATGATGTCAACTATGAGAGGCAGTGATATTAAGTGAAATCATACGATGTGATTGTGATGCCATGATGCGACTTGATATCATCTCACCTGTACATAACAGTGTCATTTTGTGTTTATGGGGCGTAGTATAAAGCTAAATAACAATGTCAACAAAAAAAAACTTGCCAATAGCAACTTGAAACTTGCACTTTAATGGGCTACAAGACTATATATTCAAAATTGTTCGGCTTTTACTGCCTCCCAAAACTCTTATAGCTTCATACATAAAAAATAAAATAGAGTTTTCGATCTATGAAACATGTGTACTTTATTTCTTATGAATACGGGTGTTAGGTGAAATATTTTCGAATGTATTTAACCGTGGAAATTTAATTTATAACCTTTTAACACTTTCTTCAAAGGTGTATCAATTCAGTACTTACCTTATGTTATCACTTTACTTTAAAACAATTTTTCTAATAGGTGGCAAACCGCTACAAAAATATTTTCGGCAGTAAACTTTCTTAAACCTCTTTGGTTTGATACCCGTTTTGTAATATTACTTTTATCTTATCAATTTAATAATTTAACAAAATTTTACAAACAGGTGGCAACCCTCCTCAAAAATATTTTTGACAATAAACTTTCCTAAATCCCTTTGCAATATTAAATTTATCTTATCAATTAAATCAAAATTATCCAGTGGGTGGAAACCTCTCACAAATATATTTTCGACTGTAAGCCTTCTTAAAACTCTTTCTTTTGCCAGCCATATTTCAATATTTACTTTATCTGCAGTTTTCAAAGAGTGCGGTAAAAATCTTGCCTTCATAAGGCCTGTATGTATTTCTCAAGAAAACGGTCAAGAAAAAAATTGCCATTATTTCGTGTGTGTGTGTGTGTCCAAGGAATTTTGACATCTGATACTTCACAGCCTGTTGCCTCATTCTTTCCTCAAGAAATAATGGAACGGGCATACATATATTTGTGCTGAAAACAGAAAACAGCAAATTTCTTAAGAACTGCGTACGGCCTTAAATTTTACACAAGAAATTTCTTAGTAATTTTTTGTACGTCATTTCATATGGAGTTTTTATTTTTCTTGAGAGCTGCATACTGCCCTATAGCGAAAAATTCTTTGTACGTAAACTTTTGTCGCGCACTGTATATTTGTGTTTGGCATGATATACAATAAAATGAAATGATGTGATGTGTATCTTTATGTGATATGATTTCCCTAAATTTTTTCCACTATTACTCCGTGCGACAAAAACAAAAAAATTCGAAACGCACGAAGCAATCAATATACTCACCAAACTATGGGCCAAATATACTAAAACTGCGTTTTTAGTTTTTCTCTCTGACGTCAGGTTGTGTGTTAAAGTGACTTTGTTGTTTCAAATATAGGATTTATTCCAAAAATTATTTAAAAAATTCAGCTCACATTATATGAAACGATGAAATGATGTGACTCCTACATTTAGTGATAATTAAGAAAATTGGTTTAGTTTTTGTACAGAGTAAACTTTCATGACGACTTCCGCCTCGTCAGAATTTCTTCGAAACTGTGATTAAGAATAATTTACATAAAATATTTTAATGGATGTTCTAATGAACATGTAAACAAAAATGTCCATACATATATACTCACTAGGGTCATTGGTCATTCAATAGACATTCCAAAACTAGTTAAAAAAAAACTAGACAAACTAAATCGTATAAAAACTGTAAACAGTTTACGGACTGGCCGGCCTAACCTAACGATCTCCTACGTATTCCTATTCATATTCGTAACGAAAAACAAAACTTTTTGCTTTTGAAAGTTAAAAAAAAATCAAAGGTAGAGCTTGAAACATGCACCGCGTTTAAAAAAATTGTATGGAAAATGTTTGAAAAATCAAATCCACCACCCTAGTGTTCTAACTACATATGTACATATATGTATAGACAAGTAAAAATACGTTTCTACAATTTTAAGCGGCAAACAAGCCCTGATGTAGTAAATTTCAGTTTAAAAGCCCAGAGGCAAATGCAGTTTGAGATATTAATTTACATACAGGAAATTCCTGCGGTTACTGTTGTAGGCTTGAAAACGATGTTATGGAAGGTTTATTTTCAACTAAGTATTGTATTCTATAGAAGTGTGGATGTTACAATTTTAGCATAATTGATATTTTTTCTAAAAGGGTAAATGTTTATGGGGACAAAAAATTTTACATATGTTGCATATATACATAGAAATCCATGTATTTATATATGTACAATACCTTAAGGGCACCATGTCCTATCCCCAACAATAATAATAATACATAGGTACCAAAAAATCAACAAGTAAAATATGTGATATATACAAATGTAAATATGTATGTGCATAGATATGAGCGCAGGTTAGGATGTATGTATTTATGTAAATCTGTAATCAATAAGTTTATTAAGTCATCAAAAGCTATCTAAAAAGTGCACACATTAAACCCAATGGATTTTGTAATTAGGCAAACGACGTTGTAGGAAAGCAATTAAAAAAACGTGTGTCTTTGGCATGCAAATAGGTATGAACGCCATTTTCATACATATGTACATATATGCAAACATTTTTACATGTACGTTAGGTTGCAACACTCACCAGACAAAAAATGGGTACTGTTTTTCCATCGAAAATAAACATTTTGTTATATTTTAAAACTTCCCTTCAAATATTTCAGAAAAATTTTAAGATTTCCGTGAACTGGACCGACCTGAAAATACCTCCAAAAATCAAGTTTTTAATAATATACATATAAATAAAATTAGTTAAAAAAATATTTTTCACAAAAAATTATCTAATATGATAGATCAAAAGGTCTGCACAAATTCCTAATATTTTTTCCGAAATATTTTGGCGAAATATTAAAAATTTTAGAATTCCGGTGGAAAAAACGGAACTTTTATTTTAGTGAAGCATCCTAATGTACATGTGTAAATATACATACGTCTATGTAAATGTACATAGGATGTGTATGTACATATGTCTTATATTTCATATTTTATTTGAAAGCTTTTTTAAACGAATGAAAATAAGTTAATGAAATCGAAAGTGAAACTTATGAACAAAATTCGATGAGCGCAGCAATAAAGATCCAAATAAACGAGTTCAATAGCCACTACATGGAGATGCAGCGGTGATGCAGCTGCAGAAAAAAGCAATCATAGCAGCAAAACAACTAAACAAAAAAAAACAATAACAATAAACAACGGGAACCATATGTTAGAAACTACATTGACCGCGCGCCAATCAACAATACCGCTGTTCTACACCCACACATATGCGCAAATTTTTGTAATCGAATCAGTGTTGCCGCTCAGACATATAATTTTCCCACCAAAATAACTACCAAAAGATTTGCAAACCTACCAAAAATAAAGTGTAAACACCCCTGAGAGCTAAAGAATTTGGTCCGCCCCATGGAATTCAGTCACCTTTAGTCTTATTTTTTCAATTTATTCTATGTTTTAACTCATCATGTTATCCGACTTTTGTTAGATATGGCAGTCCAGCCATCAATAACTCACGTTTTGTGGGCGATTAGAATGTACATAAAAACTTGAGTTAAGAAAAATACTAAATTACTTAGCCAATTTGGCAGGTCTAGACAACCGTTGGAGAAGTATAAAGCTGACATATTTTGCAATGTATTTCCAATTTAATTTAGAAACAAACGCTTTCAGCCTTTTATTATATTCAGTGCCATTTTTTGTTCCACGAAATAAATTTAAAAAGGTGTAGTGGA